GCAATGAGAGGCAGTAGACTCAATGGCATCTGCAACCAAAGGCAGGTCACAGAAAACTCAACCCTGTGATGACGCCTGGAGCATTTCCCACCAGTATCCATGGTTCCTGAACTGAAGAAGCCCAAACCTCAGGTCCCAGGTTGCAGGCCTGGACTTGCCTCTGTTGTTGAGTTTCGGGTTGGCCGTTGGAGGTTGAACCCTCTTAGTGCAAACAGGAGCGTGTCACAAAGTGCCAGGTTGACCTGTGGTTGTGTTGAGGGTGATGATGGATCCTACCAAGAGCTTGAACTCTACCCCCTTATGCCTGAACCCTTCCCTTGGCCATTTTTTTGGGGGGAATACCTATTGCAGGTTGCTAGAGCAAGTGTGGCTGTGGTCAGGTGTGGTGCCACGTGTCAGGTGGGGACAACCCAGCGAGGAGTTCTTCCCACCAGTCCCTAACCAAGTGGTGCCTTTCTCTTGCAGCCCACACACTCGTCTGCTTTTCCTGCTCGGATGCATCCTCCAACTGGGCTTGCCTGACGCCTGTCAAGTGTGGGGAGAATGAAAACCACTGTGTCACGACCTATGTTGGAGTGGGACTCGGTGAGTGGTGGCAGGACCTTCTTCTGCCCTTCTTGGCTGCTCTCCTGGGTCACCTGCTGAGCTGCCAGGAAGCTTTTCCTGCCTTTGCCTTGAGAAAGGGGAAAGTTCTGCTCAGCAGCTGAGTGGCCCAAAGGATTTTTATGAGGGATGGGCCACAAAAAGCCCGTGAGGATCCAGGGGGAATTTTGGGGTGGGGGTAAGAAGGTTGCTGATGAAGAAGTGGAAGTGTGGAGGCTGCTGCAGGCTTCCTCTGCAGGAAGCTCCAGCTTTGCCCTTCCTGCTTTCATCCCCAAGTCCCACCTTTGCCTCCCCTCTCTCTGTGGGGTTGCCAGGAAGGGAGAAGTGGAGGTTGGAGGTTGTCTGTGCTTCCCAACTGCTTCTCCTAGGGCAGGAGGCTGCTCTGGCAGGTCTCCTGCTACCCCTCAGAGCCTGGCTGGCCTTGCTGTCCCTCACAGGAGGGGGAGGGCTGTTGTTGCACGGATCTCCAACGTGGGTGGGTTGTGCTGGGAGCAGGAAGGGAGGCTGGGAGCTTTCTAAACCCATCCTCTCAGCATGGAGCTCATGGTTTTGTGCTCCCTGCTGCCAAATGTGCCGGTGCTCGAGAGGCAGACTTGGCTCCCAGGTCCCCTCCCTGGTCCCTCTCTACACCCCGTGCTCCCCATGTCACTTGAGGAGTCCCAGGGTCAAGCTCAAGTGAGATTTTTGAGGTTCTTCACCACACTTTGGTGACTTTTTGGAGATTCTCAGGGCCAGACTTCAGCCACCAACCTGGAAGGGGGTGTCCCTGGGGTGTCACGTGGTCTCTGGGGTCCATGTGGGAGGTGGTCACGGGATGTTCCTTGAAATATGTGGGCTGGTGGGATGACTGTGGTAGCCCCACACCAAGGAGCCCCCTCTGCCTTATTTCCCCTGTGGAACAGCTGATCAGGAAGCCAAGAAACATCCTAAACCCATCTCCTGTTTCTTCTCTTCCTGTCCCCTCCCTACCCTACCCTAACTTCAGGCAGCAAGTCCGGGCAGTCCATCTCCAAGGGCTGCTCTCCCATCTGCCCCAGCGCCGGGATCAACCTCGGCATAGCCGCTGCCTCCGTCTACTGCTGCGACTCCTTCCTCTGCAACATCAGTGGATCCAGCAGTGTCAAAGCCAGCTCCGTGGTCCTGGCCTTGGGGGTCCTCGTCAGCTTCATCTACGTCCTCAGAGCTCGGGAGTGATGGAGCTGGCCGAGGAAGAGGCGCCTTCCGCGAGCCGTCGCATGTCTCCTTAGCCAATATCTTCTCTGTCGCTGCCTGCCAGGAGATCTTCTCCTTCTCAGCAGGCTTCCAAGGTGGTCGTTCCCCAGACTTTCTGCTCTTCCAACGTTGGAGACCTGGGCGGTTTGGCCGAGCTGTTTTCTTCCTTCTGTTGGACGTCCCCCAGCGCACTCTCACACCTCCTTGGCAAAGGTGGATCGTTTTGGAAGGGTTTCTGCTTTTATACCTAATACCCCCCCCTCCTCTCTCCCCTTTCTTCCTCCTCCTCCTCCTCCTCGTTTCTAAGGTTGGTTAAAACAAGGCTGGGACTCGCCAAGAAGCCCAGAAACCACCTGGTCGGGCGCTCAGACGTTCCCTGCCTCTCACCTTCATGGAGGTGCCTGGCACCAGCGTGCTCCAGCCCGTGGGTGACCTTGGGGAATGCATGACCCGAAGGGAGACACGTTCCCAGCCCCTTTGCAGCTGCAGTCTCTTTTTTATAATCTCCTTTTCGTTTCTTCTGCTCCTGGGCTGATTTTTCTGGAAAACAAATGACGTGTGTCCCTTGTCCTTCCCCAGCTCTGTAAGTGCCAGACCTGAATAAACATGCTCCTGTTGTTACCTGAGATGGGACGTGTGCTCTGTGTGTTTCCTCCCTCCAGACAGAGAGCTTAGAAATGGTGGGGTGGAAAAACCCAACTCTTGATCCCGTCACGAGGGCCTCTTGGCTTCTTGAGCAGTTTTTGGAGTGCTTCAGCTCAGCATTCCTTCCAGTTCGCCTCTGAGCAGCAAGTCCATCTTCTCCCTGATGGAGAACACCACGGCCAGCTTGTTTCATCTCTTCCTGGTGCATTTTAGGGGGGAAAAAAGGCAGTTATTTGGGTCTGAGGCAACGCTGGTACCCCTAACGGAGCAAGCATCCTGGGAGAAGGACCTCTAAAAATCAGTCCAGGACCTCTAAAAATCAGTCTGCACGTTCCAAAGACTTGGTGCCTCAATTTCCCCACTTTGGACGGGTGATGGTGACAGAAGATAACATCAACACCTCAATGATCCAGGGCAACGGGTCTGCTTGCAGAATTCAGGCAAGTCAGAGGCAAATCCATCAAGACTCAGACCTGTAGGCTCAACCTTCAACCCGTGCTTGATGGGCTCTCGTGGGATATGTGGACTGCAGGAGGGGACTTCACCACCAAGCTGTCTCAGATCCCAGCATCTTCCCAGGTTCTTTCATTGCTCCTGGAAGTTCTCAGCTGCCCCATGGATGACGTGTCCTTCTGCTCTCTCTACATCCTCGTTTCCTACATCCTTTGCCTACCTGTGGACCTACTAGACACAAAACAAGCCAAAATTGAGCCTTAAACTGTCAGGGGAACGCTTGCTGTTACTTCCACTCATTGATCAAAGGTGCACTGGGCTTTTTTTTGGTCTTCTAGGAGCAAAAATCAGGTGGAATGTTGGCACTCTGGCCATGCCCTCCCTCGACGTGGTTCTGTTTGTGTCAAAAACCAAACAAAAAAGCCTCTGGAGCTGCACCCACAGTTTAATTATACCTCGAGCCTCACTTAAAGGAGTGACAAACAGATAAACGGCTTCTTTGGAAGGATGGTGTGCAGATACATAGAAATATTTGCAACAAAAGTGGTGACGTGGGTTTTTTTTCCTTCCTCCTTCTCCCCATCTTTTAATTAAAATGCTCCAGATGCTAATGACAGCCTTTTGCAACAGGAAGGATTGGTCAACGTGACGTGAACCTGCAATTAGGTGAGGAGTTGGGCAAGGATTCATGGCTTGGCTTGGTCCTCAGATGTGCCTTCCTCTGGTTGATGGGTCCTTCCTCGTCTGCTGGGACCACAGGGCTTGAGGTGTGCCACAAACTTCTGCTATGGACATGTAGCACAGGGAAAAATGAGGGGAAAAGGACTAGAAATGGGGTAAATATTCCTCAACACAGGGAAAATTGAGGGGAAAAGGACGAGAAATGGGTTAAATATTCCTTAGCTTCCCTATGCCTGAGCTTTCCTCCCAAGAGGGTTAGGAACCCTTAATGGCTCAATGGTTGGACTTGATGTTCTTGGAGGTCTCTTCCAACCTAGAGGATTCTATGATTCTAACCTGGTTTACAGGGTTAATTTGCTCCTCCCCACTTGCTGTGAGTAGATGTTGTAGTGAGACCCCAGCAGCACCCAGAGTACTCTTAATTTGCAAGGGATGGGGCTGAGACTCTTTTCTAAAAGGTATCTTGGTTTTGGACTCTGATCCACACAACAACTCCTCTGGGGGCAAAGAGCTGAACTTGGAAGCCATCCGTGTAGCCTGCTCATGGTTTGATGAGGCTCTTGAGGATGCCACACGTGGCTTCTGCCCAAATGGTTATGAGACCCTGTTGCCTCCTCCAACAGTGGCCATCTCCTACAATCAATTCTGCCAACTCTCACAATTTCTGGCCCTACTCTAGATATATTTCTCCCCCCAAATCCCCAGCACTAGAAATCATACGAGAACTTCGTTTATTCTAAAGCCCCCAGGAGTGAAAGGCCTGAAAATGTGCAGCTCTAGTAATTAAAACCATTAATAATAAGAAGAAAATAAATAGCAAGAAGGCAACGTTTATAGAGCACTAAAACTGGTGGCTTGTTAAACCAAACGCCTGGTTTGGAACTTGAGGGCCGTGGTGGGACAGCCCTTAAGTGCTTTCAAAGTGTTTCCTTGGACTGTGGAATGTGAGGTTGAAATCTCAGCAGAAAACTCAGCTCTTCACCTTTCCTGAGATGATGAGGGGAGGCAGCTTTGCTTAAATATCCCAGAACAATTTCCCCTGGAAAAGGAGAAGAGCTGAAGTCCAAAACGTGCCCATTTTGGATCAGAAAATGGAGGAAAAAATGGTTTCTGTACTTCCATACTGGAGATGGCTGTTTCATTTCAACAGCAGCTGCTGTCTACCACGATGCCAACGTTGCAAAAGCTCTGATTTTTGTGGCTCTAAGTGCTTGAAGCTTACTGAGACCTCTCCACCCAAGTTCCCTGGATTTGCTGTTTGCCAAAAAAAAAAGGACTTCAAAATGGAACAAAGTTTTTCCAACCATTTTTGAGAATTTTTTATTATCTTTTTTCAAAGCAGTAACATTTCTTTGGGAAAACACAAACCTGGGAGGTGGTGGAGTGTCCCCATCCTTGGAGGTGTTCAAAACACGTGTAGATGTGGCACTTGGGGGACGTGATTTAATGGTCATGGTGGTGTTGGGTGGTGGTTGGACTGGATGATCTTCAAGGTCTTTTCCAATCTTAAATGATTCTGTGATGGGACTTCCTTGCACAGCCAGCCAGAACAAATATCACCAGTTGCTTCATTGTTGCTTGAAGGACCCACATCAAAGAATGTCCTCGTTGGGTGTTAATTTGCTCAAATTTGGGGTGATTTGAAATGATTTGCCTCCCAGGGAACCTGTTTGCTGGGAAGGAGGGTGTTGGTTGCACCACCCCTGTGGGAAGCCTGGTAGCTCTGGTCTGGGTGGCTGTTCCTCCATGCTGGAATGTACTCCTGCTCTCTGGGAAAGGCAGATGTGGTGCACATCTGGATGCTGGGAGGTTTAGGGCCCTGCCAGGAGCCTCTTTCTCCCGTGGTCCCAATGCTTTTGCTCCCTGAAGTTGGGCTGTGCTTTCCCAGCCGTCCTGGAGGTCTCAGCTCTTTGGGGTGAAGGTGGCTCTGAATCCTTCCTCGATCCTGGAGGAGTTCTTGCACCCCTGGAAAGCTGCTGTCTGAAGCTATCCCACCAGAATGGGGACAGAGACACCTCATTTGGCATGCTGGGAGTGTCCATGGTGCCCAGGGAAGCCAAGTCCTGGGTCGGTCCTGCCATCTACTGGCTTTTGCCAGACTTGGTGGAGATGCTTTGAAGCCCAGATCTCACAAGTCGAGGAGGAACCGTGTGAAATGGGGAGGAGGGAGCCAAGGGTGAGCTACCTTTAATCAGATAACCTCAGAGACAGATTGGATGTTTTAATTCATCCACTTTTGCTCTGATGGAGAAACCACAGGCTTCCCAAGCCCAGCGTTTTCCAAGGGAACACTTCTTCCAGCCCAAACCCTGATGTTTCATCAAAATGCTTCATGAAAAGATAATCAGGCCAATAAAGCACTGCAGAAAAATCCAATATTGACACATTTTATGTCAGCTTTGTTGGATGATCTCATTTCACTGAGCTGGTTGCACCGAAACGATGATTTTACTAATCCCTGTGTGTGAGATTTGTATCTGTGGATTACCTTTGTTGTAACAATAAGCAGAATAAAGAAACCTGGATTCCTTTTAAGTATATTAACAGAAGGGTAAGTGTAGTGTGTGTTGCATATTGGTTCTTATACTCTTAATAAAAATATATGGAATTAATAAAAACGTTGCACTTGGAAATCTTTGGGTGGTTCTGCAGATATCACAGATATTACCTCGTGATTTATGTGAGAAGAAAGTGCTTGGCTTGGATTCAAAGAGCCTTTTGGGGAGCCTGGTTGGATCCTGTGGGAGAAGGAGATCACGTTCCCCAGGGGACATAAATGCAGAATAACAGTGGTGGGTTCCCAGGAGTTCCTTAGGAACAGCCAGAAGCTGTTTGAAAATAAAGATATAAAAAAATATCTTTCCTCTGGATATTCCCAGCCTGGATTTTCTCCTTCCTGGGAAAAGGTCTTCTCCACTGCTTTCTCTTTGTACTATTTTGGAGCCTCACTTACAAGTGTTTTTGGGGATGGGAGGGCATTGGATGACAGCTGGTCACAGAATAAAGGAGTTCCAATCCTTTCTTCTCACCTTGGTGCCCATGTCCCCACTCCTGCTGCTCCGTGGGGACCTGGCTGTCTCTCCACAGGTCTCCCACGTTTCAGGTCTTGAGGGAAATGGTGCCACTTCTCCAAATCTTAAAGAGGACACCATTAACGTCTTGACATAGAGGTGATAGAGCTGGTTCCTTCGTTGAGGTCCATA